TGAGATACAGCCGGGGCATCAAATTGTTAGGAGATCTGGGGTTTATGGATCATAAGTTAGCCCTGCGATGGACTGGTGGACTGTCCAGGGTGTACCCCGCCTCTCGCCCATTGACCACTGGGATAGACTCCAGTTCTCCCCGCGACTCCATTAGGGAATAAGCGGTAATGATAATGGATGGATGGATCATAAGTTATTCATTTTTAAACTCATTATGTGTGATTGTGTTGCAACAAAAGTAAAGAAAATCCATTATTTAAAAGTTTAGGACAACACAGCGAGACATTAACATGCACAGTGAAGCTAAAAGTGTTCCCGCATCGCTAATGCAAAGACGCTAAGGTCACACATCCAACAACAGATCTTTGTAGAGCCCCGTTGCCCAATGCGATGTGGGTGAGAGAAGTGATGATCCCTGTTTTATGACCTGTGCAGTTACGACTTGGAACATGAATCCCATCAAAGTTGCTCTGACACTTATTTGATCTTGTTCCGGCATACATCTGGTTGCTTTTATGACAATTGAGTTTCATGGTGCATTTTTGAGCAGTAATCTGATTACATGTTGTGTAACTTCATTATGTGTCACTCAATAAGAATTTTGTAAGAGTTAATACATTTGAACATGTGCCACTGCGCAAATGCCATTTTTATTTTTACCAGGAAGGTTTCTTTGGTGAGCTCCAATTTATCTGAACACGGTTTCATTACTTAATATTTGTAGAGATGCAAGTGCCAAATCGCTAGCTACATTAACACCATTCCCAGCCTTTGCTGTTTGGTAAGTTTGGCTGACCCTGGAACAGGACAGTGAAGGATGCGCTGTGTGTGTTGTCAACACACAGGACGGCCATTATTGTTCCTCAGACCTGCCAGTAAAGACTCACACCGTTGTAGCCCTGGTTGCTGACCTTGCTTGTTGGTCAATTTCATCTAAGATATAGAGTTAAATTTCAAGGCAGTGCATTTATAAGACATTTCGGCTTCAACTGCTACTTTTTTCAATGGCTGCAAAAAGGGGAAATGAATGGCAGGAAGTACCAGAAGAAAGTCTCCTACCAACCCTTGAAATATATCAATAGCCAGTGCAGGTATGCAATCACAACAAAGCATGGCATAAATAATCCAAGGCCTCGTTTGACTGCAACACCTAACATCAAGACTCATAACATAGATTCCTAAAGAGAAATGGTTACAAATGTGCTGATGGGTAAATTCACATGGACCCTGTCTTGGTAATTAGTGGGTTATCATTGTGTTTTCAAGACTGGATTTTAAGCTAGGGCATGAGCAATCTGGGAGAGTGACTCAGCGGCTTTGCTGTGATCGACAGCAACAGTGTGGGACTCAGAGATGAAGCACCATCTGGTCTCTGAAAATAATCGAGCAGCAAGGAACATCGAGCCTTTTCAAGGGCCAATGAAACTGTCACTCATTCAGGTAAAGCAGATTAATCCATTCAAACAACCAGTTTTGTAGCATGTTGCCACCTACGTCTTTTACAAAGCCAGTGATCAGGCTGCTCAGACACCCAGTCAAGGCTCTGGTTCTTTTTTGGTTGAGGAATCTGACACATTTCAGCCCTCAATGAAAAAAACAGAACACTGAAGTGCAAACAGGGCCCTGGAAATAAAGGCGCTAGGGATAAACTAGAGTGAGCAGCTGCGTGCCAAGATTTAAGCATGCAACAAGCTGGCACCTATTAGAATTGGAAACATCCATCCATTGTCTTATTTCTACTAGGGTCGCAGTGGGCTAGGGCCTATCCAAGCTGTCTTTGGGCTAGAGGCGGGGTACACCCTGGATAGGTCGCCAGGAGAAAGAAAAACATAACCCGAATATATGAACGCAATGACAGATGGCGACTGAGCAGATTAAACATGTGTGCATGCATGATGGGCAGAAACACAGCGCATGAAAAAAAAAATGCAGGTTGGGGAATCCTGCAAAAATTAAGTCTTTTTAATAAATGACTGATAAACTGGATAAGAATCATTGTGGGTGTCAAGTTTGAGCAAAATGGCTAAGAGCTTTAAGAGCTCTACGTCTTAATCTCAGCTACACAAACACACACATACACACACATTCAAGAATTCAAGAGCAACACGTTACACTTTGTGCTATTCCCCCGGCAACTTATTTTTCCACACTTTCTTTTATTAAAGTTTCCGGAGGGCATAACCTATTTCTGTCTGCATCATGAATACTGTAAGAACTGCATTTGCTGCTATATAAACATCGCAGCAGTCAAACTTCACAGCGAGCCAACTTTCCAGCCTGATAGAAACGCAGCTATAGGAAAACACGTTGGCAGCCGTCCATCCAGCCGTAAGGAACCATTTGAATACAATCCATTTTGACAACATTCCTAACTGTCTGACTGGCACAGGCTGAATTTCTGGGAAGGTATGTGGTTTATAGACCGCTTAAAAAGTCTGGAAGCGTGCACATCAAAGGACGCGTTGCAAAGGTATTGTAAGGATTTGTTATCCACCGTAGGTGGACATGCAGAAATATTACAATTTTGCTCCTGCTCGTGCCCATTTTGTGGGGATGGTGAGCAGCAGATTGGAGCACCTGGTGTCCGGAGAGAAGCAGCTGAAAGAGCAAAAGGCAGCTGCTTCATCTGGTGTCTGAGGTCCCAAAACTGCAACGCACTGGACAAAATACTTCAAATACAATGTCCAGACAGATTGCAGAGGGTTTGAAGAAGTCTGTGTTACACTGATTTAAGAAGTATTAACAGGCAAAGGGGCTTTTCTAGTGCCACAGATAAACATAACCACATGAAAGAGGTGTTGCGGTTTGCCCTATGGCACCTTCAGTATATCACAATACCTCACATAATTAACATTACTGCTTTTTCTATTTTCTAGTACACACTGTATCAAGGACGTTCAATAAATGATGTCAGTCAATGGCTCTTCAACAAAACACGGGCCAAGCAAAGCGTGGGGTCGATGCAGGGCTCTTGTGTGGCCTCTTTTAGCCAATCCGTGATACTGTTTCGGATGTGATCAAGTAGGCAGGCCCATCCTTTTTTGTTTTGATGATGCCATCATTTCAGAGAGGCCCAACGCGTGGCGTGCGACCTACTGCCCATACGTGCATCGACGGCCTGTCCTGCCCTTTCCCTGCATCCGATTAGGCAGGCTGGGGTTAGCAGCCATGCCCGATGCCTCCTTTCGATCAGAAGATTTAGTTCGATCCGATTTTATTTCAAGCCGAGAAAGGCAGGGCTATCCATCGTGGGGTTCTCGATGGATGTCGTGGATAAAAAATGTTTTAAACACATAGTCTCTAAAAGCACTCCAGCAGACTGAGCAAACTAGCAGTCTCTTTTGCCCAAAATTAACAGGGGGGGGGGGGGGGGGTTGATGGTGCCGTTTACGCAAAAAGGCTGCGGCATTCCGGGTCAGAGCGAAATAAGGTAAATAACTCCAAAGTGCGAGCATCTCTGCTGCGCGTCCGCCGCCCAGCAGCCCGGGCACCCCACAGTAACACAAACAGCGTCTCTCACAAACAGGGCGACAATGCGGAGGACCACCGGGGGGACGGCACGCACCGATCTGAGGCGGACTCGCCCCTTTTCCGACTTACCGGATTTGAAAAACGCCGCTATGTCTGCCGCGTCCTTCGCAGCCTCATCTGGCCCCTCCGCCGTGCTCATGGCTGCGGTCGTCTGGGTGGAAATAGCGATGGATATCCTCAGCGGCTTCTACAGCTGCGGGTGCCTGCGTCCTATCGACAAAAAGCGGGGCCGGACGCCTCTCATAGGAGCAGATCCGGTCATATAATCTCGGCTCCCCTCATTAAGCGACAGACCTTCTCCTCCATTTTGGCCGAGAAGGGAAAATCCTGGCGACCGATCGGCGGCGCTCCCGAGTTGGGACGTGAGACAGAGGAGGAGGTGGAGGAGGATGAAGAGGAGGAGGAAGGGGGAAGGGGGAGGGGAGGGGGTGATAATGAGCGAAGGCGGAGGTAAAGGAGGAGGAGAGCTGAGGGAGGAGGGCTATTCCGTTTCGAGGGGGTGGGTAAGGGTGGGATATCCTGGGATTCCGTTTCGTGGGGGTCTGGGGTGGGGGGCTTTGGTGCAGTGTGCGCCACCCAGTTTTTCTTTGGTGCGTGCCACAGCACATCAGCAGTCCCCGGCGTGTCTCCCTGCGGTGCTGATGCGGCCGTGTCAGGGTCTTAGATCTTAATTGCCCGCGCACAGATGTTAAGACAGATGTCACGGGGACAGGCATGGATAACCCTGCATCGTTTCCCCTCAAAGCCAATGACGTCTTCTCTGTACCAAACCACGAAACGTGTTACGATTGTTCGAAGAAAAGCGTGCAGAGAAGTGTTCACGGATAGTTTTCAGACGGTTTTACGTTTTACCCAGTCATGCTTCGGGCCTTCAGATTGAAAAAAAAAATGGCGATTAAAAGGGGGATGAGTTCATTCTTTCTTCATCGCCTGGTGATGAAGATGATGCTACAGGATGAGGTCATTTGCCCCACAAACCTAACCCACTTCTCTCTGACAGCTGCAGCCGGGACAGAGGGCGGCACGTTGCTGCCACCTATCGGCTGTAAGCGGAAATTACGCCAACAAAAGCACACGTGCGGTTTAATTATGTGGACAATTGGTTCCGGTGCGATGATTATGTGCCTCTGACTCGTCAAAACACTTTGTGGAATGGCGTTCATCGCCTTTTGCCAAGGTAATTAAGTTAAACTGTAGTTTTAGGCATAGCATATCGCTTCTAAAGAAGTTGGTGCAGAGTTAAACCATAACGACCATGTCCATGCCCCCCCCCCCCCACCCTCCTACTTCAGTCCGGGTTTCCTTGGAAACTACAAACAACAGTGTTTTTCAGAGATTCCGAGGTTGGGTGGAATCTCGGCTTAATTATAAGGCTAATTAACTGATGAAAATACACGTACCACTCGAGGCGGGTGTCGTTGCTAGTTTAGGGCTCTATTGAGACGGGCTTCCTGTGGAATGGTTGAGCCATGTCCTTCAGTTCTCGAATCGCTAAAGTCGGCTACAGAAGCAGACCCACCCAGCCCTCCGTGACCGTGGAGACGCTCAAGGAAATGCAGGTTTGAAAGGGAAACATAACTGAATTTTCTTTCATGACTGCCCAAGTACAGCTAATATGGTGTTTTATTTTTCTGTTGTGTTGCTTATTTGGACGTTTTAGAGTTTTATGTGAAAGGAAAAGAAAAAACAAACTCCAAAATGTCATGGGGTTGTATGATTAAAATAAATGAAATGAAATGAATTTTCATAAACTACAGCAAGTAGTGCCTACAATTGTTCTTAATACTTATTTCTCCAAGTTAATGCTTGAAACTATTTATTCATTTCCGGGATATTGATGACCTCCACATCAAATGGATTTATGGCTATTCCTCAAGGCATATCTTCTCTTTATTTGAGCTGGGAGTACTTTGCCATCTCAGACAATGTCATCTTGCTTTGAGCTATTTTATTCTCACTTTCTGAAAGGGATGAATAAATTACTGGAACTAATTCCAGCAGTTCCCCTAATATTTAATTTATTTTACACAATTATTGAGACCCTGATAATAAATAAACCCACAGTGTTATGTCACCACCTCCATGCTTCAAAGTAGTGGGAACCAAATTTGGAGTTTATTGGTACTCTATGGGACATTCAAAGTTTTTAACCCACAAGAACCAAAAAGGACACTGGTGTAACAAAGGCTGCAAACTAAAAATGGCCAACCAAAGTTGACATTTGGTGGTGCTAATTGTATTCTGTTTATTTTGTTACCGGCCTCTGTCCACTAGATGGCGATGTGTCCTATGTGTCCCATTTTGGTCAGTTTGCTCCAAAAATGGGTCTGGCCTCACCATCCCAAGCACCTGGCATTACAATAGGATTACATTTGGAAGATTTAATCATTGCAACAGTATTTCTTTGTTTGCCTTGAGTGAAAAATGCATGATGATGATGCATGGTAGAATTAGACTATATGTGATTTTCAACTCCATAACTCCTTTTGATCATTACTCTGAGAAGCACTTCAGCATTAGCCAGTGGTGTTACAGCTGTGGTTGGAAGTAGCTGTGCGTTAGGCTACACACCGGTGAACATGTTGTGTTACCGGTTTCTGTCCACTAGATGGCGATGTGTCCTTGCGCTGTTGCCTGGATTTCAGCCCAATCCCTGAGTAGAGGGTGGTGATCAAACGGGTCTGGGTCTCAGTGTTTTGTTTCTTTAGCTGTTTAATGTAATTTACGCTTGGTTTTGTCTATGCCTTCACTCACATTATGGAAAAAAAATGTATGAGCACAGTCTTAAATGCTGCACTTATTGAGGCTACACACTAAATTGGAAAAACACAACATTCCTTGTCCCTGGAATCTGCTCCACTGTGAATCAGTTTGGACTGTATATGGCTGTTGTTCAGAATTTCTGTGCTAACGTTGTGTGACCTGAGACAGACAGCTCGTAAATTATCTGTTAATCTCTTTCAGTGTAAATTCAGTTATCAAAAATGTTCTGGCTGGGGCACTTTGAGCTCTATCTGTTTTGTAATGTTCTCTGTATTTTATTTCCTTTTTTATATTTATTTTTACAATGTTTGTGTCAATGTGAACATTCTCTTGAAAAGCGAAAACATTTTTGCTGCCTTAGACTATGTATTCCCTTTCAGATCTTGGTGCTTCTTCATTTATAATTTACAGTCACTCTCCTGTTTCACAGCAGCCCACTACCAGCCAGTTTGACATAGAAAACCTAGTCATGGCATTGTAAAAAATTGATGACCCGCCACTTTTTTATGCAAAGCTTTACAATAATTTTGTCGGTATAAAACTGCTGGTCAGGTGCTTGTGGACAGAGCTGTGCATCATATCTATTGGTCTGAACAGTAAAAGCTAATGGTATTCAATATTCATCGTGTTGAAGGTCGCTTTATCTTTTTGTGGTTAGGGTTAGGTGTGTGTGTGTGTGTGTGTGTGCACACGTGTGTGCACTTGTACATCTCTCATTCACAACAGTAAAAACACTGACTCACTGCCAGCACTTTGCAGACTGACGCCTGGTCAAAAGCCGTTGGCCCCTCAGTTAATCACACAGTCTTATGAGCATCTTTAAAGTGAAGGAAGACAGCAACAGAACTAATGGGTTTAGCCTGTATGGCTCTGCCCAGTTATCACAGGACCCAAAGCCTGGCACTCACTGTAAAGGCTTGGAATGTTGTAAAGCAGCTGTTAATGCTCCTTTCATGCCTTATTGGCAGATATTCTAGAAGTGATCGTCCACAACATTAAAAAAACAAGCATGTTTATGACCCTTTTCCCCCAGTTTCAAAAGGATTGATTATTGTTTATCCTTAACCCAAGTTATAACATCAAATCTAACATTAACTCTCAGTTCTGTTAAGCTGGCTTGCATCTGAACTAGATAAAAATGGAAATGATTGAATGCTTAATACTTTGAGAATGAAACCGCAAGTTGGCACTTGCTACAGCCAGATCTGCACCCTGATGAACGGCCACATGACCTCTTCCAATGTTCAGAGTGCCATTTTCCAAGTGACCACAAACTTCCCAGGTAGCAATGGTTGCGGGCAGAGCTAACAACTGGGCAATCCTTTCATGATACAGTTGCTGTCTCAGCCGTCTGACAAACCATGAGAAAGCAACACAATTCTCTCCATCCATCCACAGTATAACATATCCAACAATAGCTTGTTGCACCAGCTGAGTCAGTACCTGCTTTCAGAAATCCTGTGTTTGTGTCCCATGGGGTCAGGGCTTTTCAACAGAGTAGCAAGGACCCAGCAGAGTATCCTGCAGGAGCTGTGTGTGACAGCTGATGTTCCATGGGATAAATGACAAGATTTTACCTGTTTGAGGCAACTTATGTTAATATTTTACACTTGAATTTATCGTCTTCTACAAAACAGAGCCCATTATGTCGTAAGAAAAAATCCTTGTTTCACCTATAACCGAAATGTTTCCTGTTAGTGGTGTTGCACAATAGAAAATCCTCATATTTTAGAAGCTCCCACAAATAACTGATTTTTTTCCAGAAAGATAGGTGACTCAATCATTATGCATCTTGCATTTCTTTATTTATTTAACAGCTCTTTCACCTCAGCTTAATATAGTTTGCAGGTTAATACTGTGGTGGTGCTGACTCAGGTTCACTTAAGCTGCATGGATGAAGATCCATTTTTAGGTTCCAACTACTAAACGGACGGAAAAGTCAAATGAAACGAGCTGTGCAATTCTAAATGTGTGCAGCAATAGAACAACAAAACACTCTTCTACTGTCTGCTAAATGTATGGCTGCCTTAAGAGGCTGTGAGTGTTCATTCTGCTGTTTTTAGTCGGCAGCGGCACACAATGGTCATGCACACCCGGTGGAAAGGGGAGATAAGTCATTGAGAGGCTGACGCCTCCCCTATAAAGAAAACGCCTATCCACTAGATTGAGGCACTACATATTTCATTGCCTTGTGGTGGATAAAAACTTGATGTTTCCCACCCAAGGTGATTTGCATTACACACATCAACAACCTTTCCACCCCCAGCCCTCCTTCTCCTTGTCTCTCTGTCCCATTGTTGTAATGGATTTGTAAGGTGAGAGCAGGACCTTGATAATTACCTTGCCGACAGGACGTCATCCAACACCACATTATCTAGTTAGCAGTGCCCTTTTAGGAGCAACGCTCTCATAATTTCAGGGCTTTAACCTTTCTCACATGGCAAATAAGAAGGCTGATTGTTCACATAGTGTAGCAACGCCACATCTTCTCTGTCCTGTCTTCTTTGTTGGGAGCTTTAATTCTCTAATGCCATGAAAAGCAAAGCTAATTAAGAGGGTGGAATGACTTGAAAAGAAGTGTCAGTCTGAAAGGCCGCCGACAACTATGCTGCATTTTAAACCAGACTATCAAAACAAGGTAAGGTGACCCAAGAGTTCTGATGTTACAGACATCTTGGCTACTTGGCTATCTACTTCATCCAAATGTAATTCATCATTAATTAGCTGTTTGGTTCAGGCTGTGTTCCTCTTTAAGTCAGTCCACAAAAAAGGTTTGATTCACATATCAAGCTGCATTTTAAACATGTTTCATCCTTGAGCAGATTTTGCATACTCCTCTTAATCTTGCATTATTGTTTGAAAAAGATAACATCAGGCGTTTAATCCTTTCTTACTTAACAATTCCGAGTTTGATAAAATAGGTATTTTAATTAAGGTCCAAGCCATCAATTTCACTGTTAGCACATATATTAATTGTTCATACTCCAAAATGGCTGTGCAGTTGTATATAAGAGCACAGATTACATTTTATGATAATTCTCTCTACCTTATGTCATCAAGTGTTTTGAAAAGAATACAGGAAATGGAGATGATGACGGTTAATGTCCAAAGTGATCATTTTGATTTTTTTATGTCTTGAACATTCATATTTGTAAATAATGCATGTGAAATTTACACTTCATAAAAGGCTCCTGAGCACGTCGGTGACAGGTCAGATCAGAACTGATCTATATAAGGGAAAGAAGTAAAGCACACCTATTTACTTTTTTTGGCATTAGGTTGTCGCTGTCACAGTTTCATTATTAAGAAAGTTTGAAGCTATATTCAACTTGCCTTCATCCGCTTGCATGTGTATTCCTCCAGTTACTAGGGGACATTTGCATACATTCAAGTGCTGGCTGCTGAGGGATTTTGTTTCAATCCTGTCATCTTGTGGAGGCCAAGATTTATACAAGGTGCAGCTTAGATAAATAAAACGAGTAAAATGCAAGGAGCAGTTTTATAGATTGTATTCTTTTGGGTTCACTGGGAATGATCAAATGATCCATTCAGAAATGAGAAAAGAAGAAAAAAACTTATAAAGTTGAAGTTCATGCAAGACAGCAAGTTATCTAATTTACCTCCATGAATTCTACCAAGACTTGAATTTTGGCTGAGCACAGCTGATACTGTTGGTACAGCAAGGGTTAAGTCAAGCTCTCCCTTGCTAAGGAATATCATTTTTATTTTATTTTTTCAGCGCAAAGAAATTTGAATTTGCGGACGTTTTTATGTCCTGGTTGAACACAAGTGTACATTCACTAGTGTCTATAGGGTTTTTCCATTCTTCATGAAGGACTATAGCTTTCACAGAAAAGCTATCTGAAAAACAGACTTGTGAGTGATTTGGCCCTTAAACATATAGCAGGGATACTTTTGGCTCACCTCACTGGGTGGTCATCACCTTCAATATGATAGGCCTAAGCTTTAGAGGGTGAGAGTGCACGTGCAGATAAGGAAGCAATATCAGGTTATAGAGAAGATATAGGGGAGGAGAAGTGGAGGACAAGGAGTTGCCATGTCACAGGTGTTTAGAAAGCACGTCTGGAGACAAATCATTTCGCATGCCATTCGGGTAAGAGAATTCACAGAGCCCTGCTATTGTTTTGGTGTCGTTTGAAGATATTCTCCTATTTTATGTGTGCATTTTCATGTAGCCTGTTGTTTGTTTCAGGTTCTGATGGTGTGTGTCATTTACTATTTTTTCATTTGTAAAAAAACAGACAACAGTAGCTGTACAGTCCACATGCTGCTACATTTGACAGTTTCTATTCTCCTGATGATTTGGATCAAAAGTGGTGACATTTATCAGAAATACCAAACAGTTGTCCTGCTTATTCTTCTGCTTTTCGCTTTTTTGTTTATTACAGGGATTGTCAGTCTGGCCACAGCTTATCTCTGGTTTTGGCATTGTTTGCCCCGAAAAGCTTTTAATGTTGTCGCTGTTAATACATGGGTCCACATCCGCTAGCTTCTGAGACTGTGTAATGCAAATGATGGGGGAAAAAAAATGTGTGTCTGACATTGTAAGAGAAGGCTATTGTGGCTTGTGTATTCTGCATGTGTGTTTGCTTGTTTGTATGGTCCACATCACGATTTATTCCTGCTGTAATGTTCGTTTGCTTTTATGACATAAGTGGCTGTGTGCGCTTTTGGAATTAAGGCAGACGGAAAGAGTGGGATGGTCGCTCGGCAACTGTTGGCTTTTTTTATAATCCACATAAAATAGAAGTATTTGAATGTGTATGATATGTAAATGTGTCCAATTCTTTAGTTGTGTTCAACCTATTTGAGTTTGGATTATTTCGTTGTGGCTACTGCTAGTTTTCAATCTAAATTCTCTAATGGGCAAGTCCCCTCAGTAAATCTGAAGAAAGTTTGATGCTACTCCTCAGTCACCCTTCTCAAGATACTTTCCTTAGGGTCTACCAAAAACAAATCCTGAGTTTTGATCATTCAGTCCTTCACTGTGTAGTATGTTGGATTTTTAAACTGTTTTAAAAATGTAACTCTAACCCTAAACCAACTGACTTTTGTTATTCTCGTTTGGCCTTCAGGAACAAACTAACTCCTTTATATCTTTTGTCTTTTATCTTTTGATTGCTTTAAGATTTTTTTCATGTGCAGCCTATACACTCTCAGGCCTGATTAAGACCTTTATGGTTTTCCTTAATTGGAATGGGCATAAATTGGTATGAAGCTAATAATGTATTTGATACTCTCTAGAGCTATTTCAGCATATTACAACAAAAAGAAGATACAAAGGAAACATAAAGCCATCCCCAGTGTAATGTTTAATCCAGTTGTAAACACTTGTCCAAACATATCTATTGAGATTCTGCTTCTCATATGTCCATTCTGATTTTTCCAGGAAGCTCTGACAATTGTGACTTTAAGTACTTTTAAATCCTTAAATGCTTTAGAGTAATAAAGCATTAAAAAAAAACAAAAAAAACACCAATGAGTGATGCAGGTTGCAGTCAGTGTTGTGTGCAACAACAGCTTTCATGCGGTGTATTGGACACTCGTGTTTCTGTTACCATGCTGCAACACTTGGAAAATGATCACTTGATTTAAACTTGCTCTGTTGGCAGTTAGTTCTTTCCAAGACCACTTGGACATTGCTGAAAGGGTTAGAAGAGAGGGACTGAGGGAAACAAAGCTAAACACTGGAAATGTTTGATGAAATACTGACATTCTTTGTGTAACTTTAATGTTGTGGGTTACTGTGTGTTTTCTGTATCCACTTAATCCAAGCAGGGTCATGGGCTGTCAGTCCCAATGGTGTTTAAGATAGGAAGAGGGCTGCCTGGAACCGCCCCACAGTTCCTTACAGAGCAAAGTTCCCTTTCATTTAGACGACTGACTGATATTAATCTATATTGATATATAATATCTGGGCCAATGTCTTGGTTATCAGTCAAGCTTAAGCCGTCTTGCATTATCACAACATCACTGCAAGTGTGTGCTGTATGGTGCAGTGGCTAAATGGATCTGTTACCGCCATTCGATGGCATCACTTCAGTCAATTCAGACTGTTCTTCAAAAAGCAGCTTAGGCAGGACATAATCAAAGTCAAACAGATGCATATTTTATTTTTATTCCACTTTGTCAGCCTCCAATTTTATTTCTTGTTGCATTTGTCAATTCTCTTTTTGTGCAGCAAAAGTTAAAAGAGGAACGGGAGGCTAAGCGTGCCCAGCTAGATGGAAGACATGACTACATTCTCAGTATTGTGGCTTCATGTCTGGGACTGGAGAAGGCTGACGTGGAAGACGCCATACTGGAAGGAAATCAGGTGCTTTTCATTCAAACTTTCACACGGATTCTTTTCACTTTGGAAATCTTCTTAAGATGTAGAATTTAGATGTGAAAAGACCATGCCAAAATGGGAGAGCACAAATATAATATACAATACAATGGCATAAATATTCAAGATACATTGATGTGAATTCCATATTTTTCATTAATATATATTGTTTTTTAAATAATTTATTTCTGTCTAAGCTTCATCACACCTCAAGGGGAAATACAAGTCAATTCAAGTTTTTAGAACGTTTTAGTTCATTTAGAGGACTTCGAAATTTAAAATTCAAAGGATTGATTTTTTTTTTTTAACTGAGATTTTCTGTCTATTTTCAAATGTTTAACAAACCAAAGAGTCATTTGGTGCAGTTAAAAAAAGAAGCAGATCAATCCACGATCACACTAATTCATAGTTATAGAGCCAAGAATAAGCTCACTCCCACTCATACTTTTTTTCTTTAAATCATTATCAGCGTGTATTCAATGATGCACACTACAACTGCAGTCGTCATATAATATATTTCTATCACCTGCACAGATAAATAATTTCAATAAATTTTCATGAGATGAAACGCCTATATTGTTAAAATTCTAATGCAAGTCTGTTACTTGTTACCAGATATAATAACAGTATAAGGAAAATACATTTTCTGCCTTTGCAGGACATTTCAAATTAGTCTTGTACACCATTGAATCCTGTCATGGTAACACAGTATTTAAATTTCTTTTCATCTATTACAGATTGACCGAATGGAGCAATTCTTTGTAGCAAATGGTCAGCCACATCTAATGTTTTTCTCTCAGGACACGCAGCCAGTTGAAGGAGGTAAAAGTGAATACTCAGTGGATCAATTTTTAAATAAAAGGTTCTATCTCGCTTTTGTAAATCAAGTTGAGATTCTGTCTAAAAATCTATTAAGATGACAGTGAAAAATCAAAGCTCTTGTTCACAATATATTGTGACTCCTCTGTTCTGCTTATTACTTCAGAAGCTGCAGCAGCTGCACCCTCTGCATCCGTCATGCTTGTTTCTCAGCAGCCTGAGCAAAGAATGAAGTCCAAAGTGTTTGTGACAGACGGGAGGGATGTGGCATTGACCGGAGTATGTGTCTTTTTCACCAGAGCCAACGTTCTGAAAGCAATTTCCTCTGAGAACATACACAGAGTGAGTCATTTTGCATGATTTTAGCAGGAGCGTGGGGTTATTATTACCTCTATTCTTTTAACATAAGATTGACTGATCCATTGAGAAAAAGCTACCGCTGAGTTGATTTAAACACAAATTCAACCTTGACTGGTCTTTTGTTTCTCCGAAATATACATTGACAACATTCTAGAACATACATTTGTAAGTCCTTGGTTATTTTTGTCCACAAGAAGGACATCATTCAATCTAGTACAGAATACCCCCAAGCAAACGAGGTCAAACTGGACAACAGATTTTTTAAATAAAAGACACGTTGAAGAACTCTTAAAATATAGCAAATCCTTGACTCCTTAGGCAGAAGTGATAGAAATCAAAGTGTAAATGAAGCCTCTGAACAACATGTCACTGATGTTTATATAACCTGCTTTAAAATAATCTCTAACTTGCAAATAACTTAATTAAAAACAGCAGGAAAGATGCACATTAAATTCCACATGCATTTTAGTTGTGATGTGAACCTCCATGAGCCTCCAATCTTTTGAGACCGTGCAAAACAATTACATAATTTATAACAAATACAGCCGGGGCTGCTGGAGGGAGGCTGTTAGAGTAAACTGTCATTTGCGTAGGACTATCTTACCTTTTTCCCACTGATATCATATTTGTGTGATTAAAAAGGAACCACGGAAAATTTCTCTCATCCAGAGATAAGTGAGACAGTATGGGCGCTCATCAATAGCACAGCAATATCACAGGCAGTTTCGGCCATTGATAGTAGATGGTCACATGCTGTCTGCACAACAGCTAATCACCACTGCTGATAACAGGTCATGTTTGCTGCAAGACAAACAGTCAGAGGAGGATGGACACCATGTATGCGTGTGTGTGTGTCAGAGAGGGAAAGGGATCTTTGGTGCACATGAATACATAATATAGAGCACTGCAAATTTTCATTAGCATGGATATGATATGAAATGAAACACGAATCACTATCGATGGACTCAATAATGATAATAAAAAAAGACTTAAATGGCCTCTCTGCTGGAGGAATAGCTTGACCAACACATTTTTCTGTGGCTATAGGATATCTGCTGTGATTTGTTGTTGTGAGGACTGGGCCCAAATGCACTCGCAAAGCTGTATGGGAAATAACTGAAAGTAGAAAATTTAGGTTCATTTTGCTGATGGAAGAACCCAGTAAGAATCAATGTCTCACTGACAATGATGCTGGCAGAGAGTGAAGTGAAAATGTTGGTCAGGGGGTGATTACGGAAAAGTGAATACAGGAGTTCTAATTGTGAAGAGGAAGCAGGTGGTGAATGGGACACTGGAACTAGAGATTGGGCACCTTTTCTGAATGAAATGCATACAGAAGAAAAGAAAGGAAGAGAATCTACCTATAAATTTAATGAGGCAATAACCAAGAACTAAAATCACATGGTGAATATGTGCACCCATTGTCTGATCATTCCCTCATAAGACAATTAGAAACTCAGTTATAGTTGTTCACTTTCAATGTTTCAATGTTTTAGTTCCTTTTAATTTTGATCTATTTTTGAAAGAAAATGTGCACATTCTTCTTATTCTTTTTAGGATGTCAATTTCAACATGTTGGACACAACAAATGTGGGTCTGCTAAAAAGTGTGGAGCAGCTGCTGTCTGAGATCTTTATTCCCACACTGAGGAAGATGAATCACGGCTGGGGGGAACTGACCAGTCCCCAGGCCCAGTCTGTCAAACAGGACTTTATATCATCACTTGAAAGTTTTGTGTCAGTTCTGGCTGGAGCACAGGAGAGTCTACAAGAAAAGGTAGTGGATAAGTAAATCAGCAGCTGAATTGTGATGATTTTACACCCATTCCAGTTCCAGTGAACCAGTGTGTAGCTCAGCCAAACAAAGAAAGAATCATGATTATTTGGATTAAAGATTATCCATGCACATATGAACTATGTTTTTACATCACAAATGTGTATTACATGTTTCACAGTGTCACTGATATTTAATAAAAGCACAGCCATCACAAATTAATGAGAAACTGCAGAAAGGATCATTTTTTTATGGGATTAACTGTGAATGCAAAGGCACATATACAACGCAAAAAAAAATCCTGACATGGCTTTCTTCCAGGTTACTTTTAAAGAGTGTGACACATTTGACTTACGGGTATTGAAAGGCCCAGCAGACTATGCAGCAGCCGCCAACAGCACAGAAACAACCGAAAAGATAGAGGCCTGCATGAAAGTCTGGATCAAACAGATAGAACAGGTAAGAAGGTGTTCTCAGGAGTACCGCCTTTTTACTTATGCTAAAACTCACTGTAATCTTGGACACCTCTTCAAGATCTGAAGAGAACAGCTGAATGTTGGCTGTTAAAAGAGAATTTCTGTTTGCTTAATTTGTCTTGGACTGATGCCGAGTATGAGATCAGCAAACGACTGCAGTAAATATATGCTTATCCTCAAAAAGAAGCAAAGTGTGTGTCAAAGTGTGTGAGTTTATAACTGTATTTGGTTGCTTTGCTTTATTTTGCAATTATAGTTTAATTTAAGTGACTGTTTTCGTTCAGTTTGAGGCATCTTTGAGAGGGTGCATGATCACAACCATTAAGATGGCTACTGATTTATTTGAATTTTCTTGAACCTCTGAAGGTGGAATTGTTGCCTGGACTGTATGAGTGATCTGATTCGATCTGATAAAGTAATGCGGCTCTCCAGGTTCTAGCTGAGAGTGACCAACTCAGAAAGGAGGCTGATGACCTTGGTCCTCGTGCTGAATTGGACCACTGGAAGAAACGGATGTCTCGCTTCAACTACCTTCTGGACCAACTGAAAACCCCTGATGTCAAGGCTGTATTGGGAGTGCTCTTGATGGCCAAATCTAAACTTATTAAGGTCGGGATTTTCCTTCTGATAAGTACGGGATTTGCTAAAAATTCCCACAGGTAGTGGGATTTACAAAAGGTTTCTGCTCGTTTTAGTCATGGCGGGATCTAGACAGAAGGATCACTGATGCAGCCAATGAGGCCAAAGACAATGTCAAGTACCTCTACAGCCTGGAGAAGTTTTGTGATCCCCTTTACAACAGTGATCCTGTAAGAAAGCTGAAGATGTGGGCTTCTTTTTAGTCTCTGTTGAACTGTTACACAATCTTGACCCATGTGGTCATACAAGATGTACTTTGTTTCAGGTGTCAATGGTAAATGCAATCCCAGGTTTGATCAACGCCATCCGCATGATTCATAGTATTTCTCGATACTACAACACCTCAGAAAAGATAACGTCCCTTTTTGTGAAGGTAAAGAAGTTGTAGGATCTATTCTAACAAACCTCTCAGTGCTTTATAGATTTGATAGAACCAGCAAAGATGTTTGGCTAATGTTTTGGCTCACATGATTTTTATTTTTATTTGAAAGGGAAAATAAGATGAAACAATGACATTTTAAATCATACATACTCTAGGCAAGATTTACTATTATTCAGCATTAAACAATTGTGTTCAATATGATTTCTATAAAATGTCAATGTGAAGTCTGAATTTTGTTTTGCTATTTTGGCTGTTTTAAAAACACAAATTGAACCACCTTTTGGTACCTGCGCTCATGCACTTAACGACTGAATTCGGATATTGATTCAGATGCACGTTTTATTTTTGTCATTCTATATTTACAGGTGACAAATCAGATGATCACTGCTTGCAAAGCCTACATTACTAATAATGGTGCAAATTCAATATGGGACCAGGCTCAGCAAGTTGTTGCTGATAAAATCCAAGCAGCCATCCACCTAAATCAGGTACAGAATGTTTATTAGGAGAATATGCTGTATATAATGTAAATCATACATTCTGCAATACTCTGTAAACACTTTTCCTTTCTAAGTTGGAAATAATATTTTTGATAGCGCACAGTTTTTTTTTTTTAATGGTTGATTTATAAATAAAAATCTTATTAGTCCAATATAATGCAAGTATTACAATCATTCAAGATCATTAAATTGTCTCCACTCATGTACATGTCCAGCTGTTCTGCTCAGTTAAATTACATTTTTGCATTGTCCAGGAGTACCAACGGTGTTTCCATAAAGTTAAGGAGAAACTGGAACAAACGCCCTCAGAGAGACAGTTTGACTTTAGTGAGATGTACATATTCGGGAAGTTTGATACGTTCCAGCGACGTCTCAAGAAAATCCTGGAAATGTTCAGTACCATTTCCACCTATTCTGCACTACAAGATTCCAAAATTGAAGGGCTGGAAACCATGGCCACCAGGTTTCAGGTAAGTATTCTATTAGATGCGATTGCAATCAAGCCCTTTTAATTATGCAGACATATGTTCTACCAGTTGATGGAATACCACAGCTAAATATGCATTTCTCCTGCAATTTATTGATGCTAATTATGTTGCCGGTGGAAGGAAAGCTTCTTTAAAGAATTCCAAGAAAATGTTTAGCCTCTTCTGCACTTTATTAATAATGTATACAAGGAATATGAGGCAAAATTGCTGTACTGTGTTACGGAGTAGAAATGCTTTATTAAGCAAATGTCACTTAATGATGTTCATCATCTTCCTTTGGTGGTATTTTATATTGATGTGAGGTATCTTGTTTGCTTCTGCTTCCTCGGATGTACAGACTGCAGAAATGCAGGCAAAATGGGAGGTAATGTCGCACAGCAAACTTCAGCAAATAGAAATGCATGGCTCATATTTTTTATCTGTAGTTTATCTTTGGATTATACCCGTGCTCCAATTTAATGACAATACTAACAGCATGAAACATGAACAGAAAGCCATCATAATTTCTGGAACATGCTTTGTTCCTTCCTGCTCTTTACCTCAGTATTAATTCCAGTTTTAGCTTCGGAAATAAAAATATACTATTCTCTAAAATGTTTACCACTTTTTTTGTGCTGATGTTATCCTGCATGCCATCAGTTCCACTCCAGTCTAAGTCTCTGCTGACATGTCATTTTAAATTAAACGGTTTTCAAATACAAATTGTATGGGTTTCACAGCTGTGTCCCCAGGGTGTTTGCTGTACCATGTTATCTAAGATCTAATTGATTCAGTCCAGAGTCTGTTGACAGCTATCATGTTTACTCACTGCTTTGAGTTATGTGAAGGTGTTAAATGGTCAGCTAGGGTCTATTTAATCAAATTTGGTGTTTATATCTCCAGAGTGCACAAAATAATGACTTTCAAAGTTTCTCAGAGCAGTTGAAGTTAAAACACAATATACCTTAAAACTGGAATGATCTTCAACATGCCTTAAAGTTGCACACTAATAGATAACAGGTCACGTCTAAGATTGAGATCTATGTGACTGGTCACTCTAATGAGATACTGGATGACATTTATTTTAGATGTGACTACTGAGCACGTTGGAATACAACAAGTGCTTGAATGGATGGTGGTTTGAAATTCTGTGTGTCTGGCAGGCTATTGTGATGAACATGAGGACAAAGCACTACAGTTTCCTAGACCACAGACGAACTGACTTTGATGTTGACTATGAGGAATTCAGCAAAAACACCTATGAGCTTCACGTAAGTTAAAAGAAGACACAATGAATCCGTTAAATTCCCCATTTCTGATCAATGGATTACTGTCAAACTAATCATCAGCAGAGTGAGTTACAGGATTTTTGGTACAGGTGGTTTCCTTTTACACACCATCTGTGGGGCAAGTAAGCTATCAGTCATGCTCGGGCAAGTATGCATGGGCATGAATAGTATGCAGAGAATTCATGTAAAAGAATGTGAGCCTATCAAAATCTACCTACCTTAAAACAATAATGGGATGTACTGACTGTTCTTTATTTAAATACAATTCAAATTACGCAGAGGTAGATATGCTGTGTAAAATGTCCATAAAACCAAAATGCCTTAGAAATTTTATGAAGTAATACACTCTCTTCAGAATCACCCAGAACAAATGCTGAAAGTCAGACATTTTCCCATTTTCATTAAAGAATGCTAAGTTGTCTTAGCTACAGGGATGGGTTAGTAAAAGCTGTAAAGCTTAAGTGGTGTTAAAAAGGGTCAACTGGAGGAACATTTTACTAATTAAGTTAACAGGCAACATATCAGTAACATTATAAAAAGTTCTTAAGAAGAACAGTTGGGTAAATTCAGCAATCGATTTATTCCATTATAAATATTCCACTAAACGGATCACACAATGTTATTAAGGAATATTCCGGAAACCTGTCTGCATACAAGTGATATGTTTGTATGTCAGTAGTGGATGGCCGTGGATTTGTTGGATGGAATAGTTATTGTGCCATGTTATTATTTTTGCAATTTTATTTCACAGTTGCTTTTGTAATAATACTGTTGTTGGTGTGTTTCTAGAATCAGCTCAGGGGTTTCATGGATGGCACCTTTGAAAGAATTCAAAACACAGAAAGAGCTTTAAATGTGCTGAAAAAGTTTGAGAGGTAACACATTGTCAATTGTCTCAAAATATTAATCGCAACTCAATCCCAAATTAAAGACAAATATCTTGGTTTATTGGTAGAATTTTTTATTTTGTATTGTCCTATTAGATGACTAACAATCGGAATGTTTTGTTTTTCCTCTGTGTATATATGACGTATTTAATTTTTGATGTTTTTATGATAAAAATACACCTGTGTTTTTCTCTCAAATAGACTGGGCATTCCTGATCTAAGCATTGAAGAGAAGTACCAGCAAATTCTTCAGAATTATGGTCGAGACATTGAAATGGTTTCCCGCATCTATGTGAAGCAAAACCTGGACCCACCCATTGGTAGGAATATGCCACCAGTGGCTGGAAGGATCATTTGGGCTCGGCAGCTTTACAGACGAATTCAGGGTCCCATGGATCTCTTTCAACAGGTTATACTGAATCCATGCATTCCTGTTGTAGGCTCCAGCTCAAGTGTTATTATTTTTTGAATAAATTGTATTGTGTGTTTGATGTAGATTAGATGTGCCATTTTGTTACTTTGCAGCAACCGGGTGTTTTTTCCACAACGGATGCCAAGAGGATTATCAAGAATTTTAACAGGGTAGCAAGGATCTTGTTGGAATACGAGATGCTCTACCATCACAGTTGGATGACAAAGGTGAATAGACCACAGCATTTGTTTTCTCCCTATCCTTTTTTCAGTTTTCATCCCTCTTAAAATTATTTCACACCTTGATATGATTTCTGTAGATGGAGGAGGCAAGGGTGGGCCTGCAGGCCTCTCTGTTGGCGCGGTCTCCAGAGACAGGGGAACTGATTGTGAACTTCAATCCAGAGATTATGACCCAGATAAGGGAAGCAAACTGCATGACACGGATGAACTTGGAGATCCCTCCTTTTGCTGCACTGTTGCAACAGAAACAGGACAACCTGAAGAAAAACTACAACAGATTGCAAGTGGGTATTGTAGACAGTCGTAGGCATCTTTTGAATTTAAACTTATTGAAGCAATTTTATGGATTCTCCAAGAACCATTACTGAGAGAAGATGCTGATTTCATGATGAATAAAAAATATATATGAATGAAAGACTTTATTTAAATATTATTCTTTAACCGGGTAGAATATTAGATTTAGTTGTTTTTGCACAACTTGAGATGAATTGAGAGGAATTGGGGTTAAAAAAACCCAGCACAAAGAAATCATTTCTTCCATTTAAACTGCAGTTCTCATAAAAGTCTTACATAAAACCATTAAATATAAAGACTTGAATATAAAGATTCACTTAAAAAAAAAAGACGTTGGCGAGATGTAAGGAAAGGTTTGTCTTTTTCCTGAACCAAAAAGAAGTTTCTACACAAGTCACAGTTCATAAATACCTGAAGATAATTTGCTTACCAAGTCTTACCAGATAATTTTCATCAGAAAGAAAATCCTCAATTTGAAGAATTATGACTACACAATTACCACCCAAAAAAAAGGGTATTGATGGCAAAAGAAACAAACATAAAACACAGACAAGCTCTTCTCACTGAGCTCATCAGTTCAATACTTTTCTAAGGTGATGTGGAAAATGTATGACATCTACCCTGATTCACAGCTTGCGCTGAGTGAAAACAGCCGAGTGCGGGCTAAGATTCAGAGTGCTTTTGAACAGCTGACCACGCCACATGTTGCCAAGGTAAGATGTTATGTGTTTAAAGGGGCAGGAACCTACCCTCCGAGAGGGAGGGTACACCCTGAACAGGTCACCAGTCCATCACAGGGCCACAAAATGACAACCACACACACTCACAATTACTCCTATGGGAAGTTAAGTGCAGCCACTCTCACTTTGTCAAAATTAGGGCTGCATGTTCATGCACCATTTAGTTTGAATGATTTCAGTAAAAATCCCAGTAGAAATGTTCTTGATCATGTTTTTTTAATCATATTCTTTAAATTTAGCCTCTTAATTATGCTGAGGTCTTGCTGCACTCATCTTAACAACATAAAAAAAAGAGTATAACTAAAGACAAGAGACAGAAACTTCCTCAGTATTTATTTGATATAGCAAACATTTAACAGTAGTGACTTATAGCTGCTATTCACATAAAACTCCAACATTTATATGCTGAATTATGTGAACATGCTTGGATTTGGTTGTACATGAAGAACTTAAATTGACTATCATTCTGAAAACAGAATGAACTTAAATGAAGGTATGATCATTGCAGATGTAATTTACTTCACAGGTTGATGAAGCTATTCAGCCAGGTTTGATATCCCTCAACTGGACTTCTCTGAACATCGATAATTATCTCAGCAGCATTGATAAAGCATTAGGTAAGAATAAAAAGATCCTGCCCACATACTGACTTATAAAATGCGCTGGCAGTATTTGATGAGTTCTATCTTAATGTATTAACCGTGCTGTCATATACAAAATCTCAAATAAATGCTGAAATAACTTTTTTTTTTAAAACCTTCATTTCAAATATTTTTTCAAATCTGTCCTTCTGTGTCTCCAGCTGACCTGGAGCTACTGATGGACAGAGTTAATGATTTGGTGGAGTTTCGGATTGATGCAGTACTGCAAGAGATGAGTATGTCCACACTGTGCATTCTGCCTGAGGATGAGCCAGTCACCTGTGAGGAATTTGTACAAACAACAAGGGTAGGTAGATTTACCAGTGAAGTCTCACTGCAGTAAATTTGCCTTCATAGTTATTCTTGGTAGATTCCCTGCTACAGTTTGAGATGCTAAGTGCACCTCTTTGAAAAAAAGCACTCCTCAAATATTCCTTTTTTTTCTGGAATAATAATATCAAGGGCAGGGAGTCTTGTACAATTTTTCATTATGTAATTGCGTCTGCACGTATAGGACCTTTGCATCAAACAAGCACAGAATCTACATATTAAGAGTGCACTGGTGGAGGAGGCTGCCAATGAACTGATCAACATGCTAATGGAGTTTGACCACAGTCAGAGAGAGGAGGAGGAGAAGGCTGAGGAAGAAAGCTGCACTGAGAACAAGACCATAGACCACCTTGACAGTGAAGGTATGCCGTTTTAATTTTTTTCAGCCATTTGTCGTCCTTTCAAAGATTTTCTTTTCAAGGTCAAATACATTTGTATTGTGTAAAATTATACTTTGAGTGGTTTATATACGCAGGCTCTGATCAGAAGATTCTACTACAACTTTCGGTTTCAGTTGCGATTACTAGCAATACTTCTAAACACTGTGGGGGGAAATGTTGCCTATGTTGGTGATGTTCACTGTAAAGGTTGCTTCCTTTCTTCAGGCGAAGATGAGCACCGCTCTGAGGGTCGTCTCTTCTCTAGAAACACGTTGCTCCCTCCTGTTAGTGTTGGTCCTTCCTCTCCCTTGTTGCGAAGAAAGAAAAAGAAACATCTGATGGAAGTTATGGAAGAGGAAGCCCAGGAGCTACTCACCTTCTTTAACCACCGCAACATGGATGCCTTGCTCAAAGTGACGCGTAACACCTTGGAGATGCTTCGCAAGCGTATCCATACATCCTCTGTCATGCATTTCTTGGGTGGGTCTTGAACACTTTTGTCCTCAAACCAATGTCTAAAACACTGAAACATACATTTGAAACTAGTACATTATCACTCAAGGGAATTTTCTGGTATTATAAAAAGTGGCACAAAGCCACCTTCCATTTCGATGGATAGACGATTATCTAACAGTTATATATCAGTTATTTACCTATTAGAAATATAGCACTTAGACACTTCGACTGAAGCAGAGCCATACATTCCATCTCAGCAGTTCTAGGCTCCATCAATTCTGTTTTCTAAATTTTATTTTTAGATTCTCTGTCTTGAGCTTATAGATGGTCCATCTTTAAATAAAATGATGTATCATAGTTTTGCTGCTCTGTCCTTTATAGGGGAGAGTGACTCACCAAGCTGCGGCAAAAGTGCCGGTCAGCAGGCTATCTTCAGAGCCAATGTGACCCTCTCTATACCCAACATTACCATTGTGCCAGCCCTGGAGGAGGTCCAGCAGGCTCTTAACTGGGTTGTAGAGTGTGTGGTCAGTGTCAGCAAAGGAGTGAGCCAGTGGAGCAGAGAAAGAATCTCCAAGGTACTTTTGATTTGATAAAGTAAGAAAGCAATTTGAGATGGCTTATTCATTACAGCTGTAACAAATTAATTTCTAATTTATTTTTCTGGACTGATGACGTTCTAGACTAGAAATGTGCCAAGTAACTTGTGTTTTTCCTTTTGTTTAATAGAGAAAAATGAATGAAAGACGAATGGCAGCTCTGACACAACACAGTTCTGAGAGCGAGTCAGATGATGGAGCAACAACACACAGGAGCCTGGCTGGTATAAGATTACACACAACATTTCTGACCTCACCTTCAGCTGTTGAACACTGATCGATTTATCTTATTTAACATAAATTCCTCCATTTCATAGTTGGACCATGTCCAGTGAAACTGTTCTCAATAATGATCTTTTGAGGATGTTTGATTAATCAGATTAGAGTTTCCTAACATAGATTTCCACCAAATCTCTTCATATTTTTAAGAATATACTTCTTTCTAAACTATCTACTTCTCAGATGGCAGCATCTCAGACATTTCAGCATCTGTGATCCAAGCAATTCCATTCAAAGCAAGAAATTATTACAAGAGTGTGTTTGAGAACAAGGAGATTGCTAAACTGGTGTCTGTTCTCAGTACATCTATCACCTCCACCAAAAAGGTACAGGAAATATTTTGCACATAAGAAATCTATTCATCTTTTTCTGTATTTGTCCCTCTTTTAATACATATATATATATATATATATATATATCCCTGATTTTGTGTTATTTTTACAGCAAGTGGTCACTGCTCTAGACCGCTTTAGCCATTACCATCATATTTGGAAAAAAGATCGCGAGGATACCATGCAAAGGTATTTGAAACTAATGACTAACATTGAGGTCTCTTAAAACACTTCCATCAATGCGTTGTGATTTTGTTCGTTTTTGCAGATTCATCCAAGGAAATCCCTCGCTGTCAGAGTTTGAGAGCCAGATCCTTTTCTATCGAGATCTAGAGCTGAAAATAAACTCAAAACCAGAGTACATTACTGTGGGAGCATTGGCTTTATTCACAGGTTAGAATGAATGACTAAAATGCATTGAATTGTCTCATTAAACAGTTACTGATTGTCTCTCACGTGTGTTTATTTCTTTTATCAAGCATCCTTGAAGATGTCTCTCACTGCTGAAACTAAGAATTGGATGTTGGATTATGGACTATACTGTAACAGGAAATATCGCTCAGAAATGGAGCACATCTTTGCTTTTGTTGATGAAGCAGGAAAGAAACTGAATCGGCAGATAAAAGACCTAGACGACATCCGCATAGCAATGGCTGCTCTTAAGGAGATCAGAGAGCACCAGATTTCTATTGATTTTCAAGTTGCACCCATAGAGGTAAAAAATTTATGAAAGACTAGATGTGTAAAAAATATGTAAAATACTTTTGTTTTAGACTATAGTTGACAACTTTCTGTTAAAATATTGCAGATTATGTTTTAAATGAATAGTGTTTGTAAACAAAGATTTGGTGTTTAGTCATATGCAGGGTTTCATGTAAAGTGCAGCTTAGTGCTTTATAAAGCTTATAAGTGGACACAAATTAGGAATAAATCAACATTTACCAGAGCAACCAGACCATAAAATCCTTTTACAGATAACATTAAGAATACTTCTAAAATGGAAATAAAACTACTAGAACAAAAAAAAGATGCACTAATACATGCAGCCCATTGCAAAAGTACTGTAGATTAAAGGAAATAGTATTTTAAACGATATTGGTTTGTTTTCTTTTTTACAGGAGTCCTATGCTATGCTTCATAAGTATGACCTGTCAGTAGCCAAAGAAGAGGTTGATAAGGTGGATACTCTACGTTACACATGGGAAAAGCTCCTGTCTCGGACCACAGAGGTACAGAATGAATTGGTTGCCCTGCAACCAAACTTCCGAGGAGATCTGGTGAGCAATGTTGACATCTTTCAGGAGGACTGTCAGCATTTTTATCTGGAATATGAGAAGGTAATAGAAGAGAACAAATGAAAAATCCTCACTTTCACTTTTAATCCTAAATACAGAACATAATGAGTTTAATTTGATTGAGAGGTTACCCTTCTTCATTTTAGGATGGGCCTATGGTGGTTGGGCTAGCTCCTCAGGATGCCAGTGACAGACTGATCATGTTTCAGGTTGGTTAGTAGGCTACTGAATGTGGTCTCAGCATGTTATTGAAGTATTCAGTGAATCAGTCAATAATTGATAGGGTGATGGTTGAGATGCTCATTTTTATTCTTTACAAGTGGGGCTTTGCTTGCTTTTATTTTCACATGTAATTGATTGCTTAATTGGTTTTTTGGTTCCTTCCAGAATCGATTTGACAATTTGTTCAGGAAGTACATCACTTACACAGGTGGAGAGGAACTTTTCGGACTTCCTGTTACCCAGCATTCCCAGTTGTTGGAGATTAGAAAACAGCTGACACTACTGCAGAAGTTGTATGGCCTTTATAACAGTGTCATTGAAACAGTCAATGGTTACTACGACATCCTATGGGCAGACATCCACATTGAAAAGATCAATAATGAGCTGCTCGACTTTCAGACAAGGTAAGAGTTCTTTTATACTTTTCTTAAAGTAATCTGTCAGCTACTGAAAGATAATCCATATTGCAATATCCAAAGAAAATACTTGGTTTAAAAAAACAGATGTTATCCTCAAGTTAGTAAATTATTCCATTCTATGAACTAAAGATGTCGAAAGCTGCCCCGGGCTCTGAAGGAGTGGCAGGCCTTTCTGGACCTGAAGAAAACCATTGATGAGTTCAGTGAGTGCTGCCCATTGTTGGACCTAATGACCAACAAAGCTATGATGACGCGCCACTGGAAGAGAATAACAGAGGTCAGTGTAGCATGCAGGATCACCAATAGAAATTTGTTTCACTTAAGAGTTACAATTTTGCATTCAGGATAATAATGGCTGTATTTTTTTTATTTTATGTCCAGGTGACTGGACATACCTTTGAGGTAGAAACTGATACATTCAAGCTACGAAACATTATGGAAGCTCCTCTTCTTAAATATAAAGAGGAGATTGAGGTAAGAAGAGATAAAAATAATCCTGCCTGTTAATAAAAAGAGGAAAAGTGAACAATATCACTTAATGATTGGAAACAATATCTGTCAGGGTACGTTTGGTACATATGTGCCAGAGAGAGACCTAGAATAACATGCAGCTGACTTAAATTTTTTCACCAGTGACCTTTTCATCCATCCATCCATTTTCTATACTGCATATACATAGTAGGGTGTGGGGAAGCTGGAAACTATCTGACCTTTTCATACAAAACCCAACTACTGCCATGGAATACAGGTTCCCAGCTATCCAGTAGTCTACCTCCCTTGACCACCATGCTATACACATTGTCACCAAACTCCATTGTAGATTTAAAAGGAAAAACAAACACAAAACAAATAAAATAAGGGCAACTGTAGAATTGTGGTCTTCATCAACTGGCAAAAGTAGTTAAACTACACCATGAGAGCAGACAAAAAGTGGCTGATTAGAAAATGCACAGGAGCTGAGCTAATCTGCATTTCTAACCCACTCTCCTCCTCCCCAGCAGGAAAAAGCATACCCTGTCACCACTGTAGCATTTAAATTGATTCTTATTGATCAATTAATTAAGCAGTCCCAGCACTATTATTGTTAATGTCATTCTCTTTCAAATTATTTTTTTAATCTGTTAACAGCAATTATGACCCTTTTCTTCTTGGTGCTTTTACAGGCACTTATGGATTCACAAGTAATTAATAAATAGAAAAAAAAATCTTACTCCTTTACAAGCAAGTGTGTGTTCTAGTGTATGCGTGTTTTTCCTTTTTCACATGACTTATTCATCAAAACTCTCCAGTTGATATTAATAATATCCCTTGCAGTTGTGATGACTGATTGGTTACGTGCACAATACTAAAAAAACTGACTGCATCGTATCCACAGAGAACCAGTCTGTTTAACTTCCAAAAGCAAACTTTTCTGGGTTTGTATATTTCAGTTAAAAACAAAAAACTTATTTCTTAAACTTGTATCTACTTTTATCAATGCACTTTGTTAATACGCAATTACTGCAATTAATGTTTGTGGTGAACGTTAAGCTTGAATTTGTATTTGTTTCATGAGACAATTTAATTAAATGGATGAAGAAAAGATTACATTAGATTTTTTGTTTTCATTTAATTTCAGTGAATTGACATAAACATCTGTTTTCCCAATGCTTTCTAAATTGGTTCTTTCACAGGATATCTGTATCAGTGCTGTCAAAGAACGAGACATTGAGCAGAAGCTGAAGCAAGTGATTGCTGAGTGGGACAACAAAACGTTCACTTTTGCCAATTTCAAGACCCGCGGAGAACTGCTGCTGAGGGGCGACAGCACATCAGAGATCATTGCCAGCATGGAGGACAGCCTGATGATTTTAGGCTCTCTCATGAGCAACAGGTGTGTTAGGCTTGGGTCTTATTGAGTGCTGCAAAATTTTCAGGAAAAAAGTAAACCGCACACTAGTGTGTCATACTTTCAGGCTTATGTGCAAATTGAACTTCTCTTTTAGATACAACTCTCCATTCAAAGTTCAGATTCAGAAATGGGTTCAGAATCTTTCCAACACCACTGATATAATCGAACACTGGATGACTGTCCAGAATCTCTGGATCTACCTGGAGGCTGTTTTTGTGGGTGGAGACATTGCCAAACAGCTGCCAAAGGTAAATTACATTATAGAGGGGATGATTTTACTTTTTATCCTTCAAAACAAGTTAAAATTTGGTTAAGAATTTCAAATGTTGAAATGTTGTAATAAATGTATTAATGCAAACCATAATTCCTTATTGATAGGGAAGTGCTAGCCAACTTGAAATTCATTCTTAAAATGTATGTGGTAACTGCATTTGTGTCCTGGGGACATTTTTGAAATGTTCAGGTTTCATTTAATCTCTACCACTTTGATGATAAGTTGAATTGGTTTTTATTCTTATACAAGCTTGATTTTAGGACAATAACATTAATGATTGACTCAATCTTTTTAGGAGGCAAAGCGTTTCTCCAACATTGACAAATCCTGGGTGAAGATCATGATGCGTGCCCATGAAATGCCCAATGTTGTACAGTCATGTGTGGGAGATGAGACCATGGGACAGCTGCTTCCTCACCTACTTGAACAGCTGGAGATTTGCCAGAAGTCCCTCACAGGGTGAGCTCAAAGGCTCGATTTCTACTCCACTCATACCACACTGTGCAGCATTCCATTGTCTGTCATCTTTTCCATCTGTTTACGCAGCTATTTGGAGAAGAAGCGTCTCTTGTTTCCACGTTTCTTCTTTGTCTCTGACCCTGCCCTGCTAGAGATTCTGGGTCAGGCCTCAGACTCCCACACCATCCAGGCCCATCTTCTAAATGTATTTGACAACATCAAATGTGTCAAATTTCATGACAAGGTGATTTTATTTGAAATGTTATCAGTGTATAGTTGTTTGCGTTATTGTCCACATGGTCTGATGTTAGACAAATGTCTCATAAAGCATTCTGTCGAGATTTTGCTGCAAAGAAAGGTCAAAGTAAAGTAAAGGTTTGAGTGATGTGCATTACAAGAGAAGTGAAATTGAACCTGAGTAGTGTAATATATAACTGTGTGTATATATTACACACTTCTTTGTAAAGGAAAGGGAATACTGGAATAGTCATCATATTATTGTATTAACTTAAACATGTTATCTTTAATAGGTATATGACCGTATTCTGGCTGTGTCATCACGAGAAGGGGAGACCGTGGAGCTGGAGCGTCCGGTCACAGCAGAAGGAAATGTTGAGGTGTGGCTGAATGCTCTGCTGAAAGAATCCCAGAGGTCCTTACACCTGGTGATCAGACAGGCTGCTTTGACCATCCAGGATTCTGGTTTTCAGCTCATTGAGTTCCTCAACTCGTTTCCCGCTCAAGTAAGCTCATTTCTATGACAGCTGGTCTCTGTCGGCCAAAGTCTTCATGCGACTCAAAAATATGAAATTGCATAAATAATATGACAAACCGTGTCACACTTTTTGTAAGAAACACAAGACTGTTTTCAATTCTCATATTATTTTGGCCACATTTTGACTTGTGCTGAACTCAGGTGGGCCTGCTTGGCATCCAGATGATATGGACAAGGGACTCAGAGGAGGCTCTTACCAATGCACGATATGATCGTCGTATTATGTCTAAAACCAACCAGCTCTTCTTGGATCTGCTTAACACGCTTATTGACATGACCACAAGAGATTTAGAATCTGTGGAGAGGACCAAGTACGAGACCCTTATAACAATCCATGTCCACCAGAGGGACATATTTGATGATCTGGTTTGTATGTTTTTCACTCTCCACTAAAAATGATCAGCGTGTAAATTTGATGATATGCATCTTAAATTAAGAAAGGAGAAAGTACATTTCTGCTTAATATGACAAGAATTTGTTTGAACTTTAAGGTCTTAAGTAATGTTAGATTATCAAATGGTGTTTAGTACAAAGAGTAAATGTCGTGAAAAAATTCAACATGTTTTTAATGTCCTCCATGTAATGTTTATGTACATACAAAGGGTTAGTTTTGACTCTGAGCCACATATCACACACAGTTATTATATTTTTCCTGCCCTCCAATATGAGGCAGTTTTGTTTTGCTGTACTATTCGTCACATGTATTTAATTCCCCCATAGCTCTGTGAGTTTATTATTTTACAGTATATAAATATCATATTATATTATATTATCCTTCTATATCATGTCTTTCCCTTATCACATTTAATTTTCCATTTTACTGTCCTTTGGTCTCATTTGATTCTGCAAAATCTTTTACATTTTGCCCCTCTTTCGTCTCATTGTTTCATCACTCCTTACACATTTTTCCTCTATTTGTTTTATTTCTGTCCCTATTCTGAAGGCCTCTTTCCCCTTGTCTCCTTAACTTGCCTCCTCTCTTCTTTCATTTTTTTTATCTTCAATCCATTCCATTTGCACTTCATGGCTTGGCCTCTTTTCTTTCATCTTGCCCTTACCTCTTTTTAAAGTCCTACCACCATATGCTTCCTCATGCATACTGTCCTTTCACCTTAGTTTTCCTTTATTTTCCCAATTATATTTCACACCTCATGTCATCTGATATGTGTCCCTCTAGTGTCCTCTCTCGCCCTTATCTTCATCTTCCTGATCCCGCCTCCCTGCACTTTTGTGCCTCTTGGTTTTATATATCTCTTTACCCTTTCTATTTCCAGTGCCGGTTGCATGTGAAAAGCCCCAATGACTTTGAGTGGCTGAAGCAGTGTCGTTTCTACTTCAATGAGGACTCGGACAAGATGATCATCCACATAACTGATGTAGGCTTTGTGTACCAGAATGAGTTCTTGGGCTGCACGGAAAGGCTTGTCATTACACCTTTGACTGATAGGTAAACGCGTATACATATTGTGGCTTACATAAATTATTTTTTTAAATAAAGACAAGTAATGGGAAAAAAGTGCTATCGGTGGTGTTTCACTGGTGTTTCAAATGACAGTACTTGAATTCCCATCAGTTTCTAGGCCAGTGTGTGGTCTAGATCTGCCTGATGTCCAACCTCCCTGCATACAGTGTTTAATCAAACTTTGCAGAGCCCTAAGTTGAATTTTAGAGAATTTGATAGAAAAAAGAGTTTAAAAATATCATACAAAGAAAAAGATTACATTTTCATAGTTTTACCAAAGAAATATGAAATGTACATGTGTTCTTTTCTCAGGTGCTACATCACCTTGGCCCAGGCTCTTGGTATGAGTATGGGTGGGGCTCCAGCTGGTCCTGCGGGAACCGGTGAGACTTGAATGATTGTTATTACATTTTGTATTAATTTATTTATGTATATGAACATTTATTGCCTGTCATCGCCTGGGCCATAGGCATGTCAGCGGTACGGTACCATTTGTATTATAAAACTGAATACATACAAATCATTCTCATGCAGAATCATAGAGGATAGAAAGCAATATCCCTCCAAGTCTGTAACCACCGTAAATAATATATTTAGAGAATACCCTGGAGAATTTTTACTTGCAAACATAAATGTAGTTTTATTTGGGATACGGGAGCTGAATCTTATCTGTTATTAGGAAAGACGGAGACCGTAAAGGACATGGGTCGGTGTCTGGGAAAGTATGTTGTGGTTTTCAATTGCTCTGACCAGATGGACTTCCGAGGATTGGGAAGAATATTCAAAGGTAAAAGACACAACACAAAATCATACATAGTTTGATAATACTTTCTTTTAAACTATTTTTTGGGTGTAATACATTTGTTTTAAAATCAAATCTAAAATTTAGGTTTGTTTAGATTTTTCTAATGTTTCCCCTCGTTTTATTTACAATGACCTCTAATTATCTGTCCCATAGGGACAAAAAAAGTTTGATTTTGAATTTGTGGCATTTCCAGGTCTGGCTCAGTCTGGCTCGTGGGGCTGTTTTGATGAGTTCAACCGCATTGACCTCCCAGTTCTGTCTGTGGCAGCCCAGCAGATAGCCATAGTCCTTACTTGTAAGAAAGAACGGCGCAGAAACTTTGTCTTCACTGACGGTGACAGCATAGATATGAATCCAGAGTTTGGGATCTTCCTAACAATGGTTGGTGACACAATCGCACTGGTGTTTCAAAACACTGAGTTATTCAAGTGAACATTTTGGATCAAGGTTTCATTCAATATAGACTGCATTTGTTCCGTTCAAACTGCTCTTCGATGCTTACCATTGCTGCCTCCTCTAAAAAAAAAACTGTTTCTGACTTTATCAATGTCATGTTTGTCATAGATGCTGCTCGGTTCTTTACCCTAAAAGTCTTTCCTGAAGTTCTCCTTGCCTAAGGCAGTCCATGTTTCTATCTATCTATCTATCTATCTATCTATCTATCTATC